CTCTCTCCACCGCTACCGCCGTCTCTCTCCAATCAAGTTTCCTTCTCCAACGCTTTCTCCAACGCCAACGCCATCTCTATCTCTACCTCTCTCTCTCGGCCTAACACGGCCGACTACCCATTGCCCCAAGAGACGCCCAACAGGGGCTTGCTGCACCCCGCGTAGTTTACCTTTCAGCCATCTTGCGTCTCTTCTCTATGTACTCGCCGCGGTACTCGACTACCTCCTTCTTCTCGTGGGTATCCGTGTAGAACGACTTGGTGGCCCGCTCGTACTTGCAGCCCAACCTTATCATCAACGAGTGCGTCGTGGACATCGAAACCGGAAGGTTCACCTGGTACGCATGGAGCCTGGAAAGATCCTCTTTGTCGTCTTGGAGCAGAGGCCCGTTGATGTACTTGCAGACGTCCTTGATGGTGACACGCGGTTGTGATATCATCCACGCCAGCAACTCACTCTTCAGATCCTCCTCTGACATGATCCAGTCCGGCAGCAAGTACTTTAGAGTTGGAGATCACCCAAGTAGTACGTGATGTGCAGAGGTGCAACAACCGGTCAACCTTTCGCGAAAGTGTGACGACATCGGCGCATGTTCATGCAGAGTTTAACTTTCAGACCGAAGTACGACACATGATAACACACCCCCTGGGTCGATTTCCACAGCTCGATTACTCCACGACGAAGAGGATGCATGAACGGCACGATACGTTTCCGGAGAGCTCTCGACAAGACGGCTTCAACACCGTCGTTTTCGGCGCTGCGACTCGTTCTGCTGGTTATGAATCGAGCTTTCAAATCCGTCCAGGGGGGTGTGTTATCTTGTGTCATATACGGCAGCACATCGTTGCAGCAAACACATCGGGGTGTACAGGTACCATATTGTAGCAAAACATGTTGTGCGTACTGCTGTAGGTGTCTCTAGTACCAGGACAACAGATGAGTAATGGAGGCAACTCATGTGGACGTGGATATCACGTTGGGCGATTACACTTGTGCGTACGAAGCATGCCGTCGAAAATAACAAAATCCCGGCTGACGACCACATCTCACAAAAAATGTGGTCGTGTACAAATCAACATACGCCGCCATCTCTTTTGTAAGAGTGCCACCTACTTCAAGTCCCTAAAAGAACATGCTCGACGCAAGTCCAGCCTGCGGCATGACTGGCCGCGTATAGTAGGTACAGCAGCAGTCGCTGGGACGTTGTCACGTGTGCTGCCGTTGATCCGACCCCAGAAAAAACAAAAAAAATCAAAATTGCATGATCATGTCCACATCGTGTTTGTACAAGTGTAAAACTGCGCAGTTCACGACTTGCCTGCTGGAAGCGTAGTACCCGCTGCAACAGGTGGGACTAGATTCTCCTTGCTGACCTCGCAGGGCTGACCACGTTGGCTGCCCTCCCAGCTGTACCTGAAGGCAAGGCTGCCCCCAAGCGCTTCCTGCTCTGTCTTGCACAAGGGGCCGTGCTTCCTCGTTGCCCTGTCTCCTTTCCGGCTTGTGAAATTGAGCCGTAGCCGCCACTTCCCCTTAGACCTCTCTGGATAGCATACGGGTTCAGAGGTTGTCTGCCAGCCATTGCGTGTGACTGCTGCTACTAGGCTCTCCATGCTGTGCACTCCTCGGTGCCAGCGGGTGCTGTGTGCATCCGTTGGGCACAATGCACAATATAAAAAAACAATGAAATTCCGCCGTAAGAAAAAGCGTTTCATATATTTTTTCCCGACTCTTAAACCCAGATAAAATGCGGAGGATTTTCTTTTTTGGAGATAATGTGTTCAACAGGATTTCTAGAGGCATGGGCAAATCCGCTGTGATTGGCTGATTGAGCAGATGTGCCGAGCTCGTTCCAATTCTGATTCCTTCAACATTTATGGCTGAAAGACTGAATGTTAGCTTCTTGGCTGGCCCAGCTTGAATAGATCGAAACAATTGGCCGTATATTGCTCAACCAACTGCCAAGGACCTGAATACTATGTTCCTCCGTGATAGACGACCTAACCGGGGTCACATGTGAGGGGGGGGTTGGACTGCGGTTCCTGCCTGAGATATTTTAATCGCGAGAAGGGTACAGCAATCCCTTCCCTCGCGACTTATGAAGTCGATCTACATGGGATCCATGGGGGTGTACTCTGTAAAGAAAGCGGTCTACCCACTATTAGACTACTTAGTAAGTGGGTACCGCTTTCTTAACAAAATATATGCTTTGTGGGTTCACCGGCAGGGATCTCCGAGGTCTTACACCCCTCGCCGCGCACTCCTGAAGTCCTGGGCCTGACAAAGACTTTCTCTCATAAGAAACGCTCATGCCGGGATTCGATCCCACGACAGAGAGCTTCAAAAAAAGCGGTCTACCCACTAGACTACTTAGTCGCGGAAAGACTTTGTTAGGCCTAAGACTTCAGGAGTGCGCAGCGAGGGGTGTAGGACCTCGGAGATCCCTGCCAGTGAACCCACAAAGCATATATTTTGTTAAGAAAGCGGTCTACCCACTAGACTACTAAGTCGCGCGACTAAGTAGTCTAGTGGGTAGGCCGCTGTCTTAACATACTCATCGTCGTGCATGCCGTAGTCGTTAGATCATTGACCTCGCATCCCTACAAAGCCGGGACGGAGCACGCCGGGTTCTCACCGGACCAGCCTCTCCATGGGATACAAAAAATAGAAATAGTATGTATCACATACGTCAGTAGAGGGGAACGGGCAGACCTGCTGTTGCTTGCATATGGGCCCGCAAGAAATATTTCGTTGAACAACACACCGTTGTTGTTGTTGTTGTCTTCACATTAAAAACCATCCCGGTCTCTCTATCCAGTACCTCCTTCTGTCTCAATCTCTCCGTACTAATCCATCACTTGACTCGGCCAATTTCCGTGGTCACAGGCTAACGTACCTAGAAAAGGTATACCAAAATGAAATAGACCCCAAGGGTTACCAGCGATAAAATACAAGAAAACAAAAGAATCAGAAACAAATTAACAAATAAATAGTGGAACGTGCGCACCACCAGCCTGGGGGGTAGCCCCCAAGGGTCAGCAGCACGTGCCAGTAAAAAAAACAAAACAAAATAAAACGAAACAAACCAAAGACAGACGAGGACATAAACTCTCACAGAGACAGGGATATCCGTAGAGACAGTCTGAACGCGACAGCAAACGGGGGAGAGGGCAACAGAAAAATTAGTCGTTGAAATTCGACCGCAACATGTCACGTCACGCGGTCGGTCTCTTCTCGCTTGCTTTCTTCCCGCCGCGCCGTTTCCTTCCGCCCCC